TACATGATTTAGCTTGGGATAATATTAACGTGGTCATAACAATATAAACATCAAGTACTGAATGTATAAACATAACTTTTTTGGAAGACTAGAGGAAGAGAAGAATGAGGAGTATGTACATAAGAGTATAAGGGGTACACAGGGACCAGGGTTCAATCCCTGGCATGCTGTGCTGGCCCCACTCCAAGGGGCGCTAAACTGACAACCAAGTCCAGGCATGGTGGTGTACGCCTGTAATCCCAGCAGTGGGGAGGCTAAAAACAGGAGGATCACTACAAGTCTGAGCTGCATAGTGAGACCCTGTACCAAATACATAAATGAAAAAAATAATAAAAAGAAAAAATTTAAACATTAATTATTCCTTTCAGTAGACCAGTAGACCCATTGTTGAGTTCATATCATTTTGTTTAGTGAAATTCTGTATCCTCTCTAGGGAAGTGCTAATAAGCCACTGAGCCATCTCCCCAGCCCTGTATCCTTTCTAATGGGTCTTTTTACTATTTTTTATTTTCTTTACAAGAATTTTGAAAATAAAAAGATCAAATAGTTGCTCCTAAGGAGCAGAATTATGGCAAGAAAGAAAATAGTACTGTATAGTTCTCAGAAACCGAGAAACTTTTGTTTACCAATCTTTACATTGTTGGCAGTGAAACCCCAGTTTAGAGGCTGGGGAGATAGTTCAGAGGCAAAAGCACCTACCTGGTAAGCACAAGGACCCGAGTTTGATCCCCAGCCCTACATACCGTGCCAGCCCCAGAAGTGAGCATGGTGGCTCATGCCTGTGATTCTAGCCCTGGGGAGGCTGAGACAGGAGGATTAACATGAGTTTGAGATCAGCCTAGGGCTACAAAAGTGGGAGCACAGGGTCAGCCCGAACTGAGGGCATGAGCATGCTCAGATGCAAGGGCTGCTTCTCATTTACTCTTCAGATCAAAGTGTCAATGTGAAATGATTTGAAGGAAGTTATTGAGCAATCTGCCTTTCCCTTTTTCTTCTTCCCACTCCCTACAAAGCAAGTATGAGTGGTGGGAGCTTACTGTGACTACAGAGAAGGAGAAAGGTGGAAGAGGCCAGTGTTTTTAATAACGCCAGAAAGTGCCAAAGAAGCGCAGGACTGACTCGCACTGAATGACTTACTATGAGAGAGTACTTACTGCCTTACATACTTAACACATTGCCATTTGGGAGGTCTGTGAACATGAAACTAATTCTGATGCATAACCTGATCATCTGCCTAGATTATTGAAGCCCATATATATAATGTGGATAAAAATTAAAACTGAGAAACGAAAAGGTCAGCAAATGCACAGAGAGAAGATTCACCAAATACCTACTTTAGAAAAAATTACGGACCCTGAATGTCCAGCTGATGAGTGATGTCTCATTACATGTCTCATTGATAAAGATGTGTCTGGGTGAAAAAGAGTTGGGCAGGACTCATGGTAGAGGAAATACTGTATAGCAAAGATTAGTGGATATGGAGAGAGAGCAACAGAAACTATCCAAATAAAAATACATAAAAATTGTATTTTAAAAAATATTTTAGGGCTGGTGAGATGGCTCAGTGGTCTAAAGCACCTACTCAGGACAAGCTTATCAAAGCACAGGGACCGCGGTTCAATCCCCAGCACCACATGCCAGCCAGCCCCGCCCCCTGGTGGGCTGAGCTGGCCACACACACACACAAAAAAAAATAAATAAATAAATTTAAAAAAATATTTTATTTATTTGATAGAGGGTCTCGTTACATAGCTCAGACTTGTAGTGATCCTCCTGTTTCAGCCTCTTGCGCTGGCCAGGCGGGTGCTTAGACCATTGAGCTATCTCCCCAACCCCTACAAAGAAATTTTAAACCCAAAAATAGCCTAATTCAACTGTGGGATAATTTTTAAAAATCAAATACACAAGAAACTGGAATCCTTAAAAAGGCAAAGGAGAAGAAATGATCAGAAACTTGTATTTGGAAAGAAGTTCATATTTAGAAAAACCTATAAATTTATAGTTTTAAAAAACTAAACAATCTCAAGCACAACGTACATGAACTGAAATTATCCAAAACTAGACAAAAGGAAAATCTTAAGAGGAGGCAGAGAAAAAAAGCCATTTTATACATGAAGACCAATGATAAAGATTGCTACAGAATTGTTTTTTATCAGATGCAATGGAAGTGAGAAGACATTGGGCCAATAACTTTAAAGTAAGAGAGGAACAAATCAACAACTATTAACCTAGAATTCTACACCCAGCCCCTGAAAAGTCATTTAGTAATGAAGGCAAAATGAAGGCTTTTTCAAACAAACAAATACATTGCAATAATACAGGCAGTAGACCTGCACTATAAGATATTTTAAAGGCAGAAAAATAAATGATAGCAGTTGCAAATCTGGGACAAGGAGTATTGGAACTAATAGCTGCATATGTAAATATATAGAAATATACTTTACTCTTAAGATTAAGAACAAAGCAAGAATGCCCATTGTCATCATTTGTATTTAACTTTGTCTTGAATTTTTAAGTCAGTACAATAAAGCAGGGGGAAAACATATTTGGATTTGAAAGGAATGAGTAAAACTCATTTTATTTACAGATAACATAATTGTCCATGTAGTATATCTGATAAAATCCACCAAAAAACTAATAGAATAAGTGATTTTAGCAGGATTGCAAAATGCAAATTTATATTGCAAACAATCACCTGTATTTATTAAAATTTTGTCTTCTTTTAATTCTGCCACAAGTGTGATTTTGTTAAAGAGAGATGGCGTAGGCTGGAAGAAAAAATCTTCTTTTGAAGTTCATACTATGGTCTTGCATTAAGTTGATTTGGTGGAAGTGTAGAGAATTTCTTCAAAATTAACTGCACTGGAATAATCAGTAGCATAAGAATCTAAAAGCACAGCATCTTCCGAAGAGGAAAATGTCTGCTCTTCTTACTACATCTATTTTAAGACTAGGACAAGTGTGGTGTGTCTTCCGACATTTATTGAAAATGCCTCATCTGTTGCTTAATTTCTTGGAGTCACTGATAATGTAATAGTATACATGTTTTGTCATTATTACAGTAGAATTTTTTAATGGCAAGATGGATGTGATTTTTTTAATTTTAAAGTGATAAAAACAATGATATAGAATTTCAGAACAAGGGCCGGCCAAATAAGCTCAGCTGATTAAAGTGGCTGCAAGCAGGAGCAGAGGCCAGGAGTTCCATCCCCAGGCCTGCCGTGCCAGCCCCACCCCCAGAGTGCACTGAGACAGCAATTGAGACTGGGCATGATGGCACACGCCTGTAATCCCAGCTCGTGGGACGCTGTAAACAGGCGGATCACTAGGAGTCTGATCTAGTAGTGAGATTCTGAACAACCTATAGACCTTTCACTAAAAATACAAAAAACAAAAAAGAATTTCAAAACAAGAAAGTAGGAAATTAACAATGGCTAATATATTGAATATTGTTATCTTCAAGGTAGTTGCTCAGTTTACCAGATACAGGTATGCACAGTTGATGAAACAATGTAAGTACAACCCATTCTATTCAATGAACTAATAGAAATTAGAACTGTAATTATCTTAGCTATGTTGTTTATATATATACTTTTTTTTCTTTTCCCTTCCTTTTTCCCCTCCATACCAGTTGTTCTTTCCATTAGAACAGTTTCTTTTCCTTAACAATATCTATTGTACATTGTGTATCTTTTTGTATGTGTTTGTGGTACCTGGGATTGAGCTTGGGACCTTGAGCTTGCCAAGAGGTATGTTTTGGAACTTATTTACTCTTTCTTTTTCTTAAACTAGGGAGACAACATGATTGTTACACATGTGAGTCTGATTTTTTTCATTTATAACTAGAGTCTCCAGTTGCATCCATTTACCTATGAAAACATCAAGTTTGTCTTTCTTTCTAGCTGAGTAGTATACCATTGTATACTACTCAGCTATTTGGCCATTGTATAAAAATACCACATCTCTTTTGTTCATTCAACAGGTGATGGGCACATGGGTTGTTTCCAAGATTTTGCTATTACAAATTGTACTGCCATAAAGGTGGGTGCATGTATATTGCTGTGGTATGATGTTTTTAATTCTTCTGGAAAAATACACAGAAGGGGAATATATGGGTGGAGTGGGACCTCTAATCAGTCCTAGGTTTTAAGAAATCTCAACACTGATTTCCATAGTGGTTGTACCAGTCTACACTCCCACCAACAGTGGAGAAGTATTCCTTTTCCCCCATGGCTTCTCCAGCAGTAAATATTGGTTGATTTCTTGATGGATAGCTATTCCTTTTTTGGTTAGATGAAATCTCAGTGTTGCTTTAATTTGCATTTCTTAAATAACCAATGATGTTTATCATTCTTTTCATTTATTTACTTGGCATTTTTTTTCTGTATTTTAGGGAAGGGTCTACAGGCTGTTCAGGGTCTCACTACTAGGCCGAACTAGTAATTATTCTCCTGTTTACAGTCTCCCAAGAGCTAGGATTACAAGTGCACACCACCATGCCCAGTCTCAATTGCTGTCTACTGCGCCCTGGGAGGGGGACGGCATGGCAGGCCTGGGAACTGAACCCCTGGCCCCTGAACCTGCTTGCAGGCACTTTAACCCACTGAGCTATTTGGCCAGCCTGCCATTTGTTTCTTTATCTGAGAAGAGTACATTCATCTCACATGCCTTGATTGGTTCTTTGAATTTGAGGTCTCTGTGGGGTTTTTTTCATTTCTTTATTTGTTCTAGATAGAAGTCTTTTGTCTGAGGAACAGTTAGCTAAAATTCTTTCCTAATCAAGGAGATTATGGGGCCACAGAGGAAAGTAATCAACAATGTATAATGTGCCTAAGGAGAATCACCTAGAGAAAAAAAATTCTCTCAGGCTTTCACAGAGAGCAAATTGGTTAAGCAATGGCCAAGACTCATCCAGATGGCTAACCCTGACAAAAGATATACAAGGTGCTGTACATGGTTCCAGGGTAAAATCCTGAGATTTGACTGACTTTGTTAGATAGCAAAAGTTACATTTTTAGTTATGTAGGTCTTTAATTTGGTCTTAACCATCCAACAGAAAAGTGTAACCATGAGGTACAAAAAGTAATGGCATGTTAATATGCAAAAAGCTGTAAAAGGCTCAAGTCAACAACTTTGGACAATTGCCAGTTGTGCTGATAATGCACTACTATTATGGACTATTGGACTATATTGGGTTATTTTGCTGAATTCAAGTACCTACAATCTTTGGACTAGCATCAAGTACAAAATTGTCCTTTAAAGACTTCAAATACAGCTTCTTTAACTGCAATGGAACACTTATCTCTGACAAAACAAAACAAAAAAAGGGGGATATGCTGGGAGCCACAGAAGCTGGGAAATTGATCAAATGTGGGTAAGTGGGACTAGGCCTCAAAGCCTAAAGCAAACAAGATACCTCAGTCCTGCAATAAATATCCTGTCTGGTTAAGGTCAGCTATTAGTTGCTAGGCAACCTTGTGTCACCTGTTACTAACTTTGCAAAAGTATAAATAAAGGACCCTTTTGTTGTAAAAAAAATGTATGCAGGATAGCTATATAGCTACTTTTTCTTAGTCCATTGAGAAGAAAGGTTTGTACTAACATTGTTTAGACAAGATATCATGTCTCTATCTTGTCCTCTGAATAATTACTATGAAGATAACAATATGCAACGTATTAATTATTGTAACTGTCCTACTAACCTGTTTTGAAACTGTTTCATTGTTATTTTATCTTTTTTCTTATTAAAATAAGTAAAAAATTTCAAAAAGTATTTCAATTTTTTGGATGCTGTCGTGAAGGCTGTTGTTTATCTGATCTTTCAGTGATTTGTTGTTTGTGCACAGGAATATTATTGACTTTTCATTGTTGACTATATCCAACCATATTACTGAATTTGCTTATTAATTCTGGAAGTCTTATACTAAAGTCTTTGTAGTCTTCTGTGTACAGTATCATGTTATCTGCAAATAATAATAACTTAATTTCTTCCTTTCCTATCCTTACTGCTTTTATTCTCTCTCTCTTGTCTAATTGCTCCTGGCTAATGTTGTCAGAACTACATGGAATAGGAGTTCTGATACTGGACATCTTTGTCTTGCTCCTGATTTTAAAGTGAAAATTTTCAGTTTTTGTTCTTTTAGTAGTATGTTGGCTGTTGGTTTGTCACAGATGGCTTTTATCAGATTGTGGTAAAGACCATCTATTCTGATTTTCTGTAGGGCTTTTATCATGAACAAATATTGGACTATATCAAAAGCTTTTTCTACATGCATTGAGATGATCATGTGATTTTTGCCTTTGGCTCTGTTGATATAGTCTTCATATTTATTGATTTGTGTGTATTGAACCATCTCTGCATTCCTGGGATGAATCCCATCTGGTCATGATGTATAATTTTCTGATAATTTGCTACAATGTGTTCACTAGCACTTTAATGAGGACTTTTGCATCTGTGTTCATTAGTTAGATTGGCCTTTAGCTTTTGTTTTTGTTTTGTTTGTTTTTTGTTTGTT